TCTACTTCAGGCTGAGAAGTTCCAGCCAGTAACTAAGCAGTTATTCTATTTTAGCTTGAAATTTATCACATCTCCTTTTTCACTCTTATGTCTCATCATTCTACAACAGAAATTAAATGCACACCAAGAGCTGCTATTTTTAAGTCTTTTTGTAAATCCTTCTGAAAAATAATGAACGCCTTCCCAAAGTAAATAATCACCCTGGCTTTATCAGGCAGATCCAGAAAACTGCTGATCCTATTTCCACCTGACCATCCTTTCTAGTTCCATTTCCACTACTATAGTCTGCCGGTCACTATTTCTTTGACAGCTGTCCTCTAATATGTTCACCTCTGATCTTCCCCTACAGAAATTATCTTTCTAAAATACACATCTAATAGTTCCTTAGACAGAAATCTTTACCAATAAATGATTCACTCTGCAAATAGTGAGAAGTGCCAGGTGCTATGTTAGTCTCTGGAAACTCCACGGAGGACAACAGAGATGATCGTGGCCTAGGGAGCTTATAGTCAAGGGTGGGGGGAGTGTGAAGGGCTAAAAAGAAAACCACAACACCATGAGAAGAGCTACTGAAAAGGAAAAACAAGGGCCAGGAAAGGCCTCTCCATGCAGGTGACAGTTAAATTGAAATCCGAAGGAAAAGAAGGCGGCTAGGTAAAAACACATTCTGATGAAGAAGAATTTCAAGCAGCAAAAAGAGTTTAGTATAAGGGACATGAGGCGGGAAAGATTCTGAGAATTTATATGAACTAAAAGAAAATCAGCAGGGCTGAAAATTACTAAAGTAGAATTTGACTCCCTGTTCTGAGCAGAATAAAGTTCACATCCTGATCAAGAACGTCTGCTGTAGGGCCTCAGCCCACCTTCCCTCTCTCCTGTGTATCACCTTTCTTTTATTTGCCACCCACACATTTCATACCTCTAGGCCACTGATCGTGCTATTTCCTCTACGTACAATGTTCTTTTGAAAGTTTGTCCGATTCCACCAGGCACAATTTATCTCTCAATTCTTTGTGACTGAGAGTATTCTGTTTATAACTATATGTCTAAGACTGATTTACAATTAATGATGTCTTCTCCACAAGATTATGACTACAAGCCATGCCAGTTCATTTGGTGTCTCCTCCCTCAATCTTCCAAAAAGGCACAGTGCTCAATAATGTGTGTTGACTCAATGAGTTAGTATGAGTTTTCATAATTAGGTTACAGCTGTATCATTTTTAACTATATTATACTAGATTATTAGCATTAAATTGCAAAGTATTTGTTCCATAAGAACAAATAGCTTGTAACCATACCATTTTCTTTTTTATATAAAACCAGTAAAGATCACAGTTGAAAAAAAAAATTTTTAAAAACTCTTTCAAGATCATTTAGAGCAAAACAAAAGACAGTTCCCTTAATAAGGCACACCCTGTCATGACATTTTCTTGTTGCAGTAACAAGTAATCTGAATCTTAAGGACGACAGATGTCACCTTTAAAACAACAGAAGGAGCACAGTTACTTGACAATGTCTTCTAACTATTCCAACCTCAGTCCATCCACTCACATTTACAGAATGTGCTAACCTCTTTTTCCCTGAGTACCACTCAATGAAGAACCAATGTAAAACAAGAGGAAGCATTGCCATGAATCCAAGATAGAGCCAATCATAGAGTTCCGGAGACTCTGTGCAAGGCTGACAATACTTCTGTGCATTTGTTCTCTGTCCTCTTGGGCAGACCTACAACATGGAAAAGCAAAAGTTTGTGTACAGATATTATTTTAGAATACTAACATCCCCCCCCAAAAAAATTGTATAAAACTTCTCATTTCAGTTTATACATTTAAGTTTACACATATAATTTTCAGAAACAAAAACAGAAAGCATAAGTAAAATGAAAAAAAATCTACATTGTATATGATATATCTATACAATGTTCTTCAAGGATTCTTTATTTTACTAGGTTACTGAAATAGATCACTAACATTCAAGGAGAAACCTACTTATTAACATCACCTACGAATAACTGCAGAGAAGATTGCCTAGATGTGTAATGTTAACTTACTGTACAAATCATCCTGCTAAATTATTTTAAAAAAGAAATTTAAAATTACTATAAAATTATACAATGCTTTAAAATACTTAATAATTGTGACTGTCAAGAAAAATGTATTATAGACATCAATGTGAAAACACAGGTATTTTATTAATGCCTCTATATTCTTTTATACATTAATGAATATATAAAAGAAAAAAGATTCTACATGTGAAAATATTTAAAAAGCAAAGAGACTTTACAAATGAAATACAAACAAAAGACTTACCCCACATTCTCCATATATTTCAGTTGAGCCATTTTTAAATAACAGGGTCTTCCCACAATAAAGTCCAAGGCATGCTGGTTGAATATCGACAGCTTTTTAAAAACAAATGCCAATATAGTAACATCTTTTGTGATTATAAAAAACTTTTAGTAATATCTTTTGTGATTATAAAAAACTAACACAATAATAGCTGAAGCACTTGATAGAAATATCTCAACATGGTATCAAATTTTAAAATGACATACAAATATATTGAAGATTTATTTTTAAACTTAAATGTCTTCTTTTTTTACACT